CAAAATGGTACGACTCGAGTAAACGCACTGAGTTACTTTCCACCCCTGCAGTATGCATCGTCGTTCAGTTAGCTCCGTCTTGCTGCTTACATGTCACTGCGTTATGAATATGTTGATATTTTTACTTTCACACATTTAAAGATCTAAATTATTTTTCTTCCAACAGGTGTAAGCATGATGCCTGTAGAGGCCTGTCTGGTGTATGGCGCCATCTAGTGGCAGCAGTGGGAAAACAAATATTACAATAATTTATACTTTCTTCATATTGCGGGAACATTTATTTAATAGCTGTTTGTGATTTTAGTCTTTTGTCTTTTGCTGAGCCTAAAACAGTGCTAAATTAGCGGGGGACTTTTCTTACCAATTTGAAGACCAATGGTTGAATGTAACTTTAATGGCAATTAAAGCTGCTGTGAATAAATACCTCCCTGAGACTTGAAGCAGTGTTGCAGAAAATATTGGAAATTAGCTCTGTAATGTGCACTACACTCGCCTACAACAAGACCTACAACAGCCTTCTTTCTACCACCCCCCCTCCATCACCACCACCACCATACATACATACAAAACACAGACAACACCCCTTCCTCAGACCAGACCTCGTTGCCTAGCAACGCCCTGCCAAGTGGCCCAGGGGGCGGGAACAAGGCACTTGGCTTCCGCAGTAATTACAGTGCATGTGTGTGTGTGTGTGTGTGTGTGTGTGTGTGTGTGTGTGTGTATACGTAAGTTTCTGGGCCACCACAGGTGTGTGTGCATGTGTGTAGTGTCACTGTAAGAGCAGGCTTAGCCTACCAGCACTCTCATGAACAAGATGGACAAAAAATAAAAACACACACACACACACGTATACACACACACACATATACATACATATATATATATATANAGAGAGAGAGAGAGAGAGAGAGAGAGAGCGAGACCATGTTAGTATAAAGTGGCCTTTAGGCTGTATGTGCAGCCATGTTTATGTCAAGTTATCTTCAGGCCTCCGATGAGGTAAAGTCAGATTTTCAATGCATTGATAAGAAGTGTCTGAGAGGAATATCAAATTAGCCATATTTAGAAAACCCATGCCTTAAGATTTAAGTTGCATATTATAGTCTCAAAATGTTGAAATCACAAATTTGGAATAACAAAGAAAATAATTGTATGTCTTAGTGAGACAGTGCCGCTGTATTGCCTTAGCTGGCAGCCTATAAGCTTAAATATTTCCCTTGTGTGCCAGAGGCATATCCTCAGTTGGCTGCCCGCTAATGATGTTTTCTGCTTGGTGAACCGGGGCTGTGGCTAAAGTTGCCGGGCTGGAGAACCCTCTTGCCTGGGACGAAACAGGCCCATGATGCCAGCACGTCGCTCACTTTGCAGGAATACATTTAAAACATGATTTCCCTTTGGGAGATTGAAGCAGGGTTCGTCACATGAGTGGGAGACATCGCTTCTGTTCCAGACTGTTACACAAGCAACAAACTTCTGTGTGATTGCTGCTACTGCAAAAAATTAATTGTTATTTTGTCGTCTGCTCGCTTCCTGCTGCACATCCATGACTCAGTCTTTGGTGTGAACCCAATGCAAATGCATTTGCTGAACAGTGACAGTGTCACTTTTTAGCTAGAAGTTATTATGATGAGGCTATGTTTTCATTTTATGGGATGTAACTACATCTGAATTCTAGATTAAATAGCTGGATGGCTTCATATTATCTGTCAAAACAGAATACAGTCATTTGTGTAGCGTTAAACAGATTGATATGTGAATATCAGTGTAAAACTGATAATAATTTTCACTATAATTTAAATAGTAAATGGTCCATACTTATATAGTGTGTTTTTTTAACCACAAGTTCCAAAGCCTATTATAATGTGTTTCTCTTTCACCCATTCACACACACACACACACACACACACACCAGTGGTGGCAGAGCTGCAATGCAAGGCACTAGTCTCCCATTGGGAGCAACTCCGGGTTCAGTGTCTTACCCAAGGACACTTCAGCACATGGAGCTAATTGGTAGATGCCTTTTCCCAATTATCAGTTGCCTGCTTTGACAGTAAAATGTTGCACAATAGTGAAAGATGGCCAAACACAATTTGCAATGCTAAAGTTGACAAATTGAGCCGTCTTATTTCTGACCAAAAGTCCAAAACCCATCGGCATTCAGTTTACTGTAAGAAAATCAGAAAATATTCACATTTTTAGAACGTGGAGCCTGCAAATTTTTGGCATTATGTTTAAAATTATTTAAATTGTTGCTCTATTATCAAAAAGTGCTGCAGGTGAATTTTCATCCATCCATCCATTATCTATACATTGCTTAATCCTCACTAGGGTTGCAGGGGGGTTGGAGCACCAATTAACCTCAACGTGTTTTTGGACCTTGTGGGAGGAAGCCAGAGAACCTGGAGAGAACCCACGCTGCACGGGGAGAACATGCAAACTCCATGCAGAAAGATCCCGGGTGTCCTCACGGGATGCAAACCAGCGACCTTTTTGCTGTGAGGCAACGATGCTAACCACCGAGCCACCTTGCAGTCCTGTCAAAACAAAACAAAACATATGAACATAAATAAAGACACATTTACAGATACGCAAAAAGCTGTGTTGATGTAATGCACCGATGAGAGTTGATTCATTTTAATTGTATTGTCTTTGCACAATGAAATGTAGTTATGCATCGAACCAGATGTGCAAAAGAAGCAGCAAAAGTGTAGCGCAATGAAACATATCAAAGTGGAATAGCTTTAGAGTCAGTATCAATATGCTAAGATATATATAAATATATGAGCAGTGGGAAAAACACATTCAATATATGCAATATATTATATGCACAAGATAACACCATAGACTGTATATACAGTCTACTGACAACACATATAGATTTTTAAAAAATGGTTTAATTATTGCTAACTAATTTACAATTTAGGGGCAAAGGTCAAAAATTTTTAACTTAACATTATTATCACTGATATTAAAAATTCGTCATTTAAAAATTAAGTAAAATGAGATGTTTAGCTGACAGTAGCCTACAATTCAAGCTAGCTAGTGCTACAGCAAGCTAATATAGCATAATATTAGTTAGCTCGTGCTACAGCAAGTTATACTAGCATAATGATATTAACATGTCATCTAGTTAGCTAGCTGTACAGCAAGCTTATACAGCATAACATTAATGTTAAGCTAATAATTATTAGCTTAACATAAAGTGAGTCTGTGAATGCTTCAGCAAGCTAAAATAACTTAATGTTATTAGCTCAACCTACAGTCAGTTAGTGCTACAGCAACCTAAAATAGCTTAGCAATATTAGCTTAAGCTAAAGTCAGCTTGTTATCTAGTGCTTAGCTAGCATGATGTTATTAATTTAACATAATGTCAGGTTGTTAGTCGTTTAAACAGTTGATAATACATTTCTACTGCTGGCTAGCTACTATGTTACTGTATTAGATGATAGTGTTTATCAGAAATATAAATTGTCATGGTGAAAGTTTTGAAAATCACTGATGTCCATGGTGGGCATCTTCCCTCGAAAGACCTACTCTTATATTTTTGCATTTTACAAAGAAGATTTTTGTGATTTTTTATTCACCCTAATAGTGAACAGCAAACATGACTCTTGTGTTAACAGTAAAGAAAGGTTTGTATATGCATATTCTTAAACCCAACCACAGAGGTATATTTTGCACTGTCCCATCAGTATGATGATTTCAATGTTATTAACCCTCCTACTATCTTTGGGGTCAATTTGACAACATTCAATGTTTAACATCTCTAAATAAGTCATTGACACTTTTTAAAAAGTTTTATTTAAAGGGCTATTTACACATAAATTTGGGTAACAATTTTAATAAGGATATTTTTTGGAGGTTTAAATTGCTGGGGTCAAATTGAACCCAAGGATAAAAGATGTTTGAAGGTAATAGGAGGGTTAAGAGGTGGCGAAGGTCATTACAATCCAAGAAGAGACTGGATCTAATATATAAGAAAATAATAATCTAATATTTATTAAATTTAAATGCAGGTAATATGAGTGTGCTACAATCAATTGACTAATATCTGTTTCAGCCCATAAGCTTCAGAGTAGACTACAGATGAGGGACTAGGACGGAAAAAATAAAAAATAAGGCAAATAAATATAACGGGGCTTTTTTTTGTTTTGTTTACTTGTCGTTGTTTTTACCATGGAAGGTAATATTTCTAACAGCAACAAACTGTTTTCGGAACTAATTAAAACTAAATGACTTTTGTGACACTGACACACACACACACCTCTCTTTCCCGTTCGCCCAACCCCCCATAACACACTAGTCACCGCCCTTCCCTCTCGCTCTCACACCAACATGACTACCAACAGCGCCGCTCCGACCAGGCCGACGCGCCGGAGCATCATGGGAGCTGTAGTTCCGTCCTCCCTATCCTGTTCGAGAAGGCGAGGCCTCACCAAAATACAACTCCCATCTCGACCCTCGCACGCCGAGCCCCGTCGTCCAATCTGAATATGTGGGAGGAGCGCGTCCGCCCACAAAAGCCACAGCTATCTCCCCGTATCTCCCCCTTAAAAAAAAATCAATTGTGCACGAAAAAAAAGGGAACACGCTCAAAATACAAACACTGGTGACGGTTGGTTTTCGGTGCACGACGGACGGCGACGAGGCGTCCCCCGGCGTCGTGCGGCGAGAGAAGCGGCGGTGACAGGCAGGGAAGCAGCGAGGAGGGTGTTGTCCTGATGCTTAAATGGAAGTGGGTGGGCCTCTACGGTCACACACTGCCAACTTCTCTGTGGATATCATTCTGACAAGCGCCAATTTGCTCGTTTATGGACTGTCTATCCGGTAAAAGAGACGCACAGCGGGGCAAGCGAGGCGCCCGACGCACCGGGGACGGTCACCGCGCTCTGTGTTATCCCCGTTATTTGGGGCTGCTTGATTGTGCCTGCGCTTGGCACCGCCCTTCCTGGCCGGTGGGTGGTTTCGTCAAACGGGCAGATCCGCCACGGCCCAGAGCCGAACATATAGGCCGTCCTCCGCCTCTGTACCCGGCCGGCCTTCTACCGTGAACTACACCCTCTCCTTCTCGGTATATTAATGCGTTATGAGTGGTAGGTACCCTCCCCCCTCTCCGTCTCCACCCCTCTCTCCCTCTCTCTATCCGTGTGACAGATAGGAGGATCCATGCCCCCTTTGATATTGATGATGAGGTTACTGGTTTCTCCTCTGCCTTTATTGATCACCTTTGTTGTGCTGTATCTGCTTCATGCTCAGGTTTTGTTGTGCACAGTGCTTGCTTGCTCTTGGACTTACTCAGTGGCACCACAATAACTGAAAATATTCCAACATTTGACTCCTTTTTTTTCTTTCTTTTTCTTTTGCAGACTCCAAGAAGGAATCATCTGGAACTGAAGGAGGGAAAGCATCTAAAAGGGGGAAAAGTTCTGGATCGCAGGTAAAAAAGCAAAAGAAACAAGAGTTTATTATAGTTCGTTACTTTTGCCTTGCCTGTAGGCCAAAAATGTACTCCCTCCCTCCCAGCCAGCCAGCTAGCCAGACACCTCTGGGGGCGTTTCTCTGGTGAATTCCACTTCCTACTTGTGTGCAGCCCTGCTGAGAGCCAACCCAGAGCCTCATGAATAGGCTTATACGGCTGTCACACTTCAACCGCTACACTTTTGAATTGTCTCTTTGAATTATGATCAAAATGATAGTGATAATTCTGCAAATGGCCGTATTTTAAAGACCTGCAGCTTTGGTATGTGGCTCTGCAACTGTGCAACTTCTATTTTCAGCAGGTTGTAGAGGTTGTGTATGTGTGTTGGAGATTATTTTCAGCCAGGCAGTTATTCTTGAGCGCATCTTTTGTTGGTAAATGTGTATGGCAAGCGTTGCTGCTATGTTATTTTCCGTGCTACTGTAGTTGTTACAAAATCTAGGCTGTTTCCCGTGCGCTGTTGAGAGGTGTATAGCATTAAAAATTTGCCTGCGACCTAGTTCCTTTGAAAGGGAGGAGAGAGAGAGAGAGAAGGCGGCATTTTCTTCCAGTGTTCTGAGAAAAGAGAAATGTGGTTCTCACACGCCCACCCACTCGCTTCCTGTAATACCGCCCACTTCCACTGACAGCTCTCTCTGTTTCTCTCAGCTTTTTGTGTTTCTTTTTTCTGCACCATGTTTTTCCCCACCCCTTACTCTTATTCTTCCTCTTCTTCATTTTAAATTGTCCGTTTTGTGAGCGTGCGTTACGGTACTTGCTCATCACTACCCTGGAGCTTTCTATACTTACATGTTGTACTTTTTGTTAGTGTATGTGTGCGAGCTCTCTTGTGTGTTTCCGTCTGCCTCTCACTCTGACTCGCTTCTTCGCCTCCTCTGCCTTGTCACTCCTGTTTAACCGTTCCTCTCTCTGCCCCTCCCGCCCATCACTCTTCCACCCTCTTTCCGACTCTGTCTCCTCCAGGATTCCTCTCAGCCCTCGCCGTTGGCTCTGCTAGCGGCCACCTGCAGTAAGATCGGAGGGCAGGGGGGAGCGGAAGGGGCCCAGGTCCAAGCAGGGGCCCAGCAGATCCAGGTCCAGGCTGGTCAGATCCAGCTGCAGGCCGGTCAGCTCCAGGGTCAGATAGTGGTGGACACAGCTGGGGGTCAGACCCTGGTGCCCCAGCAGCTCGAACTGGTCCCAGCTCAGTTCACGGGGAACGGCTGGCAGATCATTACAGCAGCGCCTACGATGGCCAAGGAAAACACCAGTCAACCTGTTGCTGTGACGGTGGCCACCACTTTGGCTAATGACAGCTCGCCTGGTGGACGCAAGGTGAAGGAGTTGGGGAAGACAGTGGGTTTTTCAGTTTTTTTCAATGATTGTGAGTTTTTGCCTGCTTAACTGTATCGTTGCTCCTTTCCTGCAGGTGAAGGCAGTAGGTGGGACCAACAGTGTTGCAGCCAATCAGCAGCAGCAGCAGCAGCAGCAGTTCCAGATTATCCAGGTTCAGAACCTGCCCAATGCTGGGGGCGGGGTCCAGTATCAGGTCATCCCCCACCTGCAGACTGCAGATGGCCAGCAGATCCATATCAGCCCGCAGACAGCCTCCATCGGGGCTCTGCCTGAGCAGGTTCAGCTCATCCAGACCCCGAGTTCTGGCCAGACCCAGGCTATCCTCCAGCCGGCCAACCAGCAGGCCATCCTGACAAGTACAGCCAATCAGACGGTCCCACTGCAGATCCGTCCTGCACAGTCTTTCCCGCTTCAACTACAAGCTCTGCAAGGCTCCCAGACTCCTGTTATGACCACAGTACCCATCAACCTCGGGGGCATGACCCTGGCTTTACCTGTGATCAATAATGTCGGAGGGGGCGGGGCTGTGCAGCTTATCCAATCAGCAGATGGCACATTCTCTGTTGCTAATGGCAACCAGCTGGTGACAACAGCAGTGTCTGGGGCGGCCCCGGCTGCAGCTGTACCCGGACAAGCAGCAACGGTAATACCTGAAGGTGACAGCGTGCCTGATGGGGCTCAAGTGGTTTCTGCTGGACCGGAGGGTGGATCAGCTGACACCCAAGTGCAAACCAGTGAGGCAGACTCTCAAAGCCAGAACCAGGCCAACGGGCTGCAGAACCAGACAGATACAGCAGGAACCATCCAGCAGGTGATCGTGGGCCAGGTGGGGCACCAGTTGGTGCAGCAGATCCAGCTGCAACCCCAGGCTCAGAGTCAGGGTCAGCCTCAGGCCCAGCAGCAACCTCAGCACATTCAGACCCTCCAGCTGGCCCCAGGTCAAACCCTGCAACCCATTCAGGCCTTCCAGAACCCAGCCCAGGTCCTTATTCGTACTCCGACCCTGTCACCCTCTGGGCAGATCACCTGGCAGACGCTGCAGCTGCCCGGTGGCGTTTCCCTGCAGGGCGGTCTCGGGACGGCTGTGCCACAGCAGCTCACGCTGGCCCCGGTGGCTGGTGGGACGGCAGTAGGGAGTGGAGGGCTGGTCTCCCTGAGTGGAGCTCCCTTGACTCTGAGTGCAGCCCAGATCAACCCGGGGTCAGGAGTACAGACGGTCAGCATCGCAGGACTGGGCACAGCTGGCGTTCAGGTGCAGGGCGTTCCCCTCACCATCACTGGTCTACAGGGTAAGCACACCATAAGAGTGACTGTGTGAATAGAACTGAGTAGCGATAACCCCGTACTGACCCATTTGCTTCCATAAAATGTGGTTAATGCAGCGTGTTTGTGCAGACAGAATGTTATGAGTCATGGTGGAAATATGAAGCTCTAATTTTTCTTGCACACTGCTTTATACATTATACCTTTCAGAGCTAAATCACATGGGAATGTCTTGTTCACTTCTCTGTTGAATAGTGTGTCTGACACTGTACTCAAAACTGTTTGGGATTTTGTTTGTTCAGCTTGCTCTGTTGTCATATTTGCCTCAAACTGCACCACAGCCAACACAGTGCTTGTTTTAATACGTTTACACAGTTTAAACCTTTTTCAAATCACCCTTCAGGTCAGCCACAAGGTCAGGATGGGGTCAAAGTTCAGTCGTCTCCTGTGACCGTCACTGTTGGCAACGTGGCATCAGGTTCATCAATGAGTCCAGACCAGCTGGGCTCCGTTCAGAGTTCTTCAGACCAGGAGGGGCCGCCCAGCAAGAGGCTTCGACGTGTCGCCTGCTCTTGTCCAAACTGCAGGGATGGAGAAGGAAGGTATGGACAGAAAAGAAACACAAAGAATAATGCATCAGAGCAGACTAGGATTAAATATAGCGCCATTTGGGAGGCTAGTGATTTTTTCTCACTTTTAAAGATTTAGCTAAATCAAATTAATCCAAATTTGCAGAAATAAAACTGGCGTTTGGAGTTTTTTTGTGATTCCACAGTGGAACATTTTGTGTCCCCCACAGAGTCCACAGATGCTCCATTACAGTGATGAATACATTTAAGGCCTTTCTGATCAAAATCAAAAATTTAAAGCATTTTTAACATGTTTTTTTTTTAAATACTAGAATTCATATCATGACAAAATAAGCAGTTGAAAACCGAAACTGCGATTCACCGTTGACAGTCTCAGTGTGGGGTGGGGTTTTCCGCATCATTAGTCTTCAGTTTCCTATTCAGACATGAATGGCTACAATACTCCAGTTTTACAACTTGCCATTGCGTAATGTTAAGTCATTCTACAGTGTTTGAACAGAGTCTTGGGTGAGCTGGTGTGCTTGAGCTGCAGCAAACAGTGGAGGAGTGGGTAGAGAGAGGGCAGGAAGAAATTTAGACAGGAAGTTTTTTTTTAATGTCTAAATGTGTATTTTAGATACACAGTGATGAGTTTTTATGGGTTTAATTAACGACCAGAGAGGGACGTTAAAAACAGAGGAGCTGAATCAGATTTGGTTGGTCCTTTATAAATCTACACTCATATGTTCCCAATTTACAAACCCATATGTACATTTTTGGGATTGTTACTGTCATGTCCTGATGGAGAACTAGTTTGTCAGATGAGCAGAACACAGTGTATTTTCTATCCTAAAGTGAGAGTTCCGACCTCTCACCACGAACACTTGGAACTGTAATGTTGAGCTGTCATCTAAAACATACACTGAGAATATTCAGAGACCAGTCAACTGTATTCAGCCTTGTTGTGAGCAAATCTTTTTTTTTTGAAGTGTGCAGCTCAGCAGAGGTGCTGTTATAAAACAGAGCTTGTTTAAGTAACATTTTTTTAGCACTTGTAAAAAATTACTTTCAAAAACATCTTTTTTTTTTTTCTTTCTTTTTTTAAACTAAAGATTATGAACCTGGACTGAAATGCTTCGTATTAGTTCTGTATCACACGTAACCTCCAGCTCACTCCTAACTCAAGTGTGTGTGTTACAGGAACAGTGGGGACCCCACAAAGAAAAAACAGCACATCTGCCACATGGAGGGCTGTGGGAAGGTGTACGGCAAGACATCCCACCTACGGGCCCACCTGCGCTGGCACACCGGTGAGAGGCCGTTTGTGTGTAACTGGATCTTCTGTGGCAAGAGGTTCACCCGCAGCGACGAGCTGCAGAGACACCGGAGAACACACACAGGTAGGAGAAACATGTCAACAAGGATGCAGCTACATGATGTAGGTCAGCCTGGTCACACTGGTAGAGTGGAGGTTTATACAGCTTAAATCCGTTACTGAATCCAAACTTGAGCAGCAAAATTGTTGTCATCGTCTTCAGTCTTTGAAATGTCAAAATCAATGAGACAAATGCCCACTGCAATGTCACTGAGCTTATGGTGGCGTCTTTGAATGTTTTTAGGTTTTGTTGTGTTTCAATTCAAAAGATGAATGGTGTGGAGTTACATCGACGCCATTTTAAGTGGTTATTTTCATGGAAATGCTTCTAAATATGTAATTTTGATATACAGAAAGAGTGATTTCAGGCGTGGCATTGATTATGGTGGTTCTATACAGTGATATACCACAGAGAAAAGCAGTACATCTTATAATTGGAGAGGCTGGAACAGGAGGTTATGTTTTGCTCTTAAATGTAACTGTAATAATCACAGGCTTAAGTCTGGGGGAAAAAAGAAAAGAGAGTATGGGAAAATATTTGTGTTTCAAGACTATTTTGCACCCTATTCTATTTTTTAAAATTTGAAATCGCTAAAAATAAACGTCTCATACAAGCCGGGTGTTTTTCGTGGCGTTTGAAGCAGGCAGCTAAAATGTTTACCACATTGTGAGAGAACGCGAGTCAGAGCGAGCTTGATGTTGTCGAAAGCAAAGCAACAAGTGTGACGTGTGATTGAACCCGCACTCCTACACAGAGCTGCCTCTGTGCCTGCGCCACACACCAGCTCTGCCCTAAGTGCTTCATAACTGCACCCAATCCGGACATCCGTGACTAAGTCAGCTTGAAAGCAAATGTGGCACTATCTTTGAGATTTGCACACATCGCAAATAAGTCTTTATGAGGCTTTTCTGAACTTTAAATAGAAGAAGGAGATCATTCCTTTATGGCTGTGTGATTGTTGTTGCCATGAACACAGTAAATAAATGAGGGTACATAGACTCCTATGAAATGAAATGATTTAACTTTTCAATTAATTTTTGCTCCTCGTTTATCGAAACTGAAAAATGTGAAGGGACCAATGATAGAATATTTTCATATCAGAAACTGATCGATATATCAGTTAGCTTATAATATGAGCCGATACTGGCCTGTCACAGATATGTCATGTATGTTGTCTGATATGCTCCCATATATAAACTGAATTTTGTACATTTTTTTTCTTTACACATTGCAGAAAAAGATTCTTCAGGTAGCTTAGAAATGTTAGCAAGGAGCATGTGATTTATGTTAGGAGTTAGTCCTCTTCCCGACCCTGCCCACTGGAGCCTGAAGTGAGTGACGTGAATTTTTTTTCACAAACTACAAAATTATGCATCTCTGTGTTTTTTTCCATGGTGGAGAGATGTGTGGATTTCAGGCTTCCTCACCAAAACGAAGGGCAAAAAAAAGCCTTTCCCCCCTGAAAAAAAAAACAAACAACAAAACACTCCAGGGAAGTCTAAAATCTTTCCACAATGAAAAATAATACTGCACAGTGGTGCATAGTTTGTAGTTCTTGAAATAAAGCATCACTCATATCAGGCTCTGATCAGCAGGGTGGGGAGGAGGACGAGCTCCTTGGTATGCAAATTAGATGTAAATCCGACACTCGTTGCCCCTCCCCTCACGCCCAGCCCACCAACAAAGCAGTGGCACTAAAAAAAGCTGAAAACTTTTCAAAATAAATAACATTTTTGAAGAGTTTCCTTAAAACGAAAATCCAAATTTGATCAAATGATTTTTAATGTCAGTGTTTTATTTTTTAGTGGAGTTTTTTCAGCGCCTCAGTATGTTTTTTCATTGCCAATATACTTTTCAAAAATTCTAATGTTACAGTTTCAGTGTTTCCTATTCCAGTTCAGGTTTTGTTTCCATACTGTCACTGTTCTGGCCTCAGACCACGGCTACTCCTTGTTTTAGATTTGCAATAAAACAAAATCTCTCTCGTATCCAACTTGTATTTGTTTGGTATTAATTGATTTATTTCAGCTACAGCCACAAAATTCTGGTTATTATTTGGCTACAGATACCATGACCAGAGAGTAACACCCATCCATTAATGGATTCTAAAACCATCTTTTTACATAAATAACATTCAACCATTTTTACTGAGATGTCAAACATTGTCTGAAAAGTCTAAATAGTCTGGAAAAGTGTAGAATTTTGAAACGGAAACGGGAACTACCTGCAGAAAACTGGAGGTCCTCATGATGACTTGCGACTCTCTCCTTCGTCTTCTCTCCTCCAGGTGAAAAGCGCTTCGAGTGTCCCGAATGCTCCAAGCGCTTCATGCGCAGTGACCACCTTTCTAAGCACATCAAGACCCATCAGAACAAGAAGAGCGGCGCTGCCGTGGCAATCATCACCACTGATGACATGGAGGAAGATGCCCCTGAAGGCCTGGGTGCCTCCCCTCAGATTGTTGCTGTAGCAACCCTCTCGCGTGACTCTGACCCCGCTACACCCACCACCTCCAATCACCTGGAGGAAGAGGAGGAGGAAGAGGAGGAGTTTGAATAGGGCGCCTGACTCCTGTTTCTTGGCGGAAGGCTGACCTCCTGTTTTCTTGGAGGTCTTTGCAGGGACTGTAAGGGTGATGACTTTTCTTTTTCTTTCTTTTTTTAAAATTTTACATCATTTTAAAAATGTTGTTCAGTCATGACAAGGGACTCAATAGAGACAGGATCATGCGAAGAACAGAAACCGAAAAATATAAACATCACAATCTAAAAAAAATAATTTAACTAACACATATAATAACAAAAAAATTTAGTGTATGAAAGATTAGTTTGGCATTTATAAAATTAATCTATAATAATTCCATGTGCTGTGGGGAAAGGAATGTAAGTAGATTAGCACAAGACAGGGGGACCTGCTGAATTTAAAACCATTCAACATTGAGAGACATTTTCCTAATCGCAACAGAATCTAACTCTATGCACAAAGTTGTGTTCCTGTTTCCTACCTGTCAGACAGTGCTGAGGGTCAATCATGGTACAGGGCTGTTGTAGAGCAGTGATGGAGCAGCGCCAGTGTCGGGATGAATTGTTTGTGTGCGAGAAAATGTGGCCTGTATAAATGAGCGTGCGTTTGTGTTCCCACACTGACCTGCAGATCTACCTAATTTGAGTTTTATTCATGGTTCAGGTTTAGTCCTCAGATCAGATTCAGGTGTTGATTCCTTTGTGACCAGTCGACGAATAAACTGTTCTTTGAGAAGAAAAGGGGGATAATTCTAAAAGACAGAACGTGTAGAGAAAAAAAAAAAGCACATATAAAAAGATTTATAAATAATGCATTCCTATTGAGGCGCAGTGGCCATTAGACAAAAAAAAAAAAAAAAAGAGGTTTCTATAGAGAAAAACAATCTAGCTTTCTACAACTTTGTTTGTGTAGTGAAAGCAATACTATAATGACAATCCTAGTGAAACCATGTTTACATTGTCAGGGGAAGTTTTCTCTGTTAATAAAACAAGCCAGTTCGCGGTAACGTTAGGGGGAAGACATCGGAAAAAGCAGCGCTGCCGTCTGATCAAACCCGGGGTGCGGGGTGGGGGCTTCAACATCACAGCTGCACAGTCGATCCGATGGAATTACAACGAGGCGACGGATTTGTCAGACGGCAGCACTGTCCTGTCGCCGATGCTGCTTTTTGCTTTCTGTGCTCTGGTGACGACCCCTCTCTCCACCTCTACCCCTGCTACACGACCCCCATGTACCGCAATTGCCTTAACACAAGCTGTCGTACAGAGGGAACTTCAGAGCGAGGTGTGGGGAGGAAGAGGGGAGCTCTCCCGCATTATTAGGGGGTGACGTGGAGAGCAGACCACAGCACAGGCAGGTAAAGCGAGGCAGAGCGATGGAGGAGCTGTGGGCGGGAGTGGGTCGGGCTATTTAGCTATGTGGATATTATGAGATGTTTTCTGGTGGTGTTGCTCTGTGTTAGTTCAGTGCGTACATTCTTTTTAAATTAAAAGATACTTTTATTTTATAGAATTTATTAATTGTTTTACCCCCCCCGTCCCCAAAGTATGTTAACACACAGGACCCCACTGTGTATGGCTAATTTATTATTTATCCTTGATTTGTAATATTTGCCTTTTGCTGGACTTGTATTCGTGTGCGTTGATTCTGAGGTTGTGTACAGCATGTTTCAGTTTTTTCGCCGTAGTGCTGCTTCTCTCTTCTTTACTCTTCGTGCTTCTGTTTTTAATTTTTATTTTTTCTACGTCTGGCCATCGCTGTTCATTTCTTCTTCTTTTTTTTCTCTCTCTCTCTCTCTCTTTGCGCCATAATGTGTGTTTTTGGTTTTTTTGGGAGAAAAAAAAAAGAAATAACAAAAAGAAGAAGGAAGCAAAAAAAAAAGAAAAAAAAAAGCTACTATTTGTTTAAAGTTGAAAAAGGTTGATACCAAACAAAATTTAGATGTTTTTTGGTAATATTTTGTGTGACAACCAACTTTTTTTTCTTTGATATTTTGTAGTGACATCTCATTTGTAAATCTTTTTCTAAAGATGTTTGTTCGTCTCCATGACATTTGATAATGGGTTTTTGCCAGGTTAGCCTCAAAGGCTCCAGTTTATTGATATTTTTAAAACTGGTTTGTACAAATGTGTTATGTCAATAAAACAAGGAAAAAAAAAAAAAAAAAAGACAACTTCAAGCAGAAAAAAATGCTTTGCCTGCATAACACTTGACAATAAAGTGATTCTTAAAGTGAGTCTTACATTTCTCTCTCATGCTCTGGTATTTGTGTGAATCAGTACGACGGAAAGAGAAAATACAGCCACCAAGAAACAACGGATGGATAACAATGTTTATACTCTGGCTGCACACACACACACACACACACACAGTCGATAGCTCCTCTTGTTACTGGCTATTCTCTCAGCTGTGTTGTGACAGCAGTGATGATGGAGTATGCGCGCTCCCTTTGGGAACAATTACTGCTCCCAGTTACTCTTTCTGTTGCCGATTGCATCCCAGCTGAGGTTGCAAAGATCAAACCTGTGACCTCCGAGTCACAGGACAATCTGTTCCCACTCAAAAATCTCACACGCTTGTTTGTTTGGACAGATAAGAGGAGCGCAAACTGTCAGAAACTTCAGAGAACATGAGCCGTTAACCAAAAAAAAAAAAAAAACAACACCCCAAATGTAAGTTAGCCACGATCCAAGTGGGGCTTGTGAGAGTTCACCGCCAGGCCACTCTGTCAACTTCACAAAAAAGCATCACACAGGAGGCAGCTCACGCATACCTCTGACATGTCACTCCTTTGAAGCACTTCAAAAACACCTAAATCTACAACCTCTCCCTGCACCCTCAGGTGCTTCTGTGGAGTTTTGTAGGCGAAGATTATTTTAATGTAATGAACTCTCACAGCAACAGAACAAAGAGATTTTTTGATGTCCACACTTTTGTATCGTTCATTATATGTCGGACCAAGAAAGTAAAGAAAATCCAAACCAACCACAGAACCCAGAGCGCAGTATTCATCGGTGCACTGACATTTGGAGGCTTTTTAATTCATCCTGCGTCATTTCAAGGGCCGGACTGTTGATTTTATAGTGTGTACATAAACTCACAGTCATCCTGAGTGTGCACTTACAGACCGACACTGATAATTAAGGCATCAGTCATAAGATTAAAGCTTCACCAGACAGCTGTGATATTTCTGTTTCTCACTCACACTGCATAATGGTACCTCATGAAGACCCGGCGACCTCAGGTTGATCTCTGAGCATGCTATGACTCCTGCCCTGCAGCTGGCCTTCCTGGTCATTACACGAGAGCTGGCTAGCTGGCTTCCACGTCACCTCGGGAGCCAACAGTTCACCTGCACACCAGGTACACAGCAGCTTTAAATGCACACTATACTTGCTTGCTCAGACTTGCCTGGAGCAACTTTTCAAATAACTTTGGTACAGCATAAAAGTCGTGTACTCCTCTCGTAAATGTACAATAATGCTGTGTTTGGGGTTCTCCTCCTGGAGTTGCTGTGGTATAGTGTTGACGTAGAAGCATGTCTTAAGCACATTCAGGTTAAAATACAATAAGAGATACTACATTCATGTTTCTTGGGTAGCTGTGTGTTGTTTCAACCATAGACTGTATTAAAGATGGACGTAGCAACCGGCCCTGAAAAATGAAGCCAACCCAGAAGTGTCAAAAACCTGCAATATCACAACGTCCGCTAGTTGCTGGCTCCAAAAAGCCCTGGCTCCCATTGACAAATTGGAAAAGAAGTGATCACAGATCAAGAAATACCGCATTCCTCCAGCTCAGGATTTTTTCTTATTAGTTTTCATGGTCAAACCCAGAGATCAGGTGGACAATCTGAAAATAAATCAATACTGAATTTTTTAAAAATCATCAAAATTTTGCGGAGCAAGGGGCGTGGCTGGCTTGATTGACAGTCGGCAGCGACGATGCAGATGAAGCGAGTAGAAGGCGGTAAATGTGGGCGGGCAGAGAGGGCCCGCCTCTCAATCCGTCTGACCAATCGCTGCTCCTATGGCTCCGTCCCCCTCCGACGACACTGGTTCCAAAAATCCAAGATGTCAACCAGGAAGTAACAAAACCCTGGCTTCATTTTCTCAGTGCAGAAACCAACAGGTGACGTCACGGTAGCTACGTCCATCTTTCATACAGTCTATGGTTTCAACATCGGTTCACACAGGGCTCTGATTTTTAGGTTGAGGTGGAGTAATTAGTGGAGGTAAAAATGCAAGTGAAGAGGATAAACAAGCAGAAGTCAAGAACAAGGAGAAGTTAAGAAATACACCTTAATTCTGTACAGTAAGTCAAGACCCCACTGCAGGACGAAGGTGTACTCGACTCCTTGTAAACGATAAAGACAACCTGAGGATTCACCACAAGGAAAGAAAGTGCAGTAAAGAAAAGAAGCAGACCACCAGACACGGTGGTGCGTGTGTTATAGTTTGGCTGCCAATGGAACTGGGACACTGAGCATTTATCGACGATTTCACAGCACTCAGCCGGACAATGATCCCACAAATAAAGCCAAAGCAGCGTTTCAGGGACAAGAGGTGTAATATGCGTGGCTGGCCGGGTCAATCACCTGATCTTGCATTCCACTTGCTGAAGACCAGAGTAAAGATAGAGACCCCACAACCAGCAAGAGCTCGAGGAAGACCTGAGAGCGAATCAGCAGAGAAGATACAAAGCGTTGGGTGATATTCATGAGTTCAAGTCTTCCAGCAGTCAGACTGTAAATGATTTTTCAGAATATATTATGATAAATGAGCTGTCCCCTAAACTTTGGACACTGTGTGTTAAAAGCGCTGCATCTCCCACGTAGCTGTTTCTATACTTATGTAAAGCTGAGGTTTAGTTCTTCAGTTTAGTGTTCATGACTTTATATCAAATAGAATGCACTAAAACACAGAACCACAGATCAAAAAAAAAAGTGCAACTGCCCAAACACTTCTGGTCTGCACTGCAACACAAAAAAACATGGCAATTTGTGTAGATTATGCCATTTTTTTATTAACATTGACAGTGAACTGACAAAACGCTGCAAAGTTATTCAATTTTAGAAAAGTAATTTGTATAAAAGCTTGTATCCGCAACACCGATATTAAAACATCACATCTGTCCCAGTGAACATACAGATTAGAAACATACCAAAGAAAATGTACAACTCAAATCGAGTACTGGCTTTAAAAAAAAAAATTAAAACATCCCTGCATCTTATGCAGCCTTAAATCAGGATATACAAAACATATTAACAGTATATGTGCCTCATGTTAAGGTGACAAAAAAAGACAACCTTTTTGCTTTTGTTTGTCTAGGTTGATAAAAGGTTGATCTAAACCTAAGAATGTGCGTTATAATGATTTCTACAGTACTGTGCAGCACCAGAACCTCCTCCATGGCACCAGCTGTACGAGGAGGTTCTCCCCTCTGGTCCTTTCTGTGGACTTTACTGCAGCTCCTTCTGAATACTGCAACGGAGAAAAAAAAAACAACAACACATGAGCTCTAGCTGGTGTCTGAATAATTCTCAGTGGGGGGGGGCAACTAGTTATTCTGGTTCTTTATCTGTCAGTAATTTGCCGATAAATCAATAAGCATTTCCGTCTGACTACACAATTTTCACAGCTCAAGATAAGATTCCTTGTTTTGTCCAACTTACTCTCCCAAACTCGTAGATTTTCAAATATCAATGATGTGACAAAAGAAAAGCAGTAAACTCTCACTGTTTCTGTTGTTCATTAAATTGAATCTCACACTATGAGATTAAATTTGTAAGCTTCAAATGAGGCCTGTTATAAAAACAATCGATCCCAAGACGTATCAAAAGTCATCCACAGAATTAACTAAATTCTGGTAATTTTCTTCTAAGTTCATGCAGCATCACTGATTCTCCAATGATTTTACACTGACTGTGCATATGTTGTTCTTAACCAAAGTCCTAAGCTTCTCAAATTGTAGGCAGTAATATGAAAGTGTAAAATGAGATTGAGGTGACCTACCTCTCCAAATACTCGTGGACGTTGTCGTGGCCATTGTAACGAGCCAAACCCACCAGGATGCCGGTAGCGCAGCGGCCCTCCTTCTTACGACACAGGCTGCAGTTACACATCTCACGACAGATGGGACACGACCACGTCTACGAAGAGAAGGTCCAAATTCAAACCAAGTATTTGGACGGTTGTTCAGTTATTGTTTGCCGTTCAGGCGGATCTGTGCTTCAGCACATTCAAATTGAAATCAAATATTGGATGGTGCATTTAAGTACCAAATCTCAGCTTTAATTTGAGTAAAGCAAATAAAGAATGTAGCCAAATGTGTATCGGAAACCACTTGTCTTTCATCTCCATGTTGGACTTTTGCTTTTATCTCTAGCAGGACGAGAGCCAAGGTAGAGGTATGTTTTCAGTGATGGTTATTTCATTCTTTGTGTGTAGCAAGACAAATTCTACTTACATTGTTATCTTATTTTTATTATATTTATTCTGTTGCTGCTTTTGTTATTCCTGTTTCTGCTTTTTTATAGCTACTAATTTCTGACTATAATCACCAGAGATGAGTCAAACAGAGTTTCGCTGTACCTGAATGCATGACAACGAAGTCCATTTTTTAATCTAAGGATACATTTTTTCCAAATGTTATGACACTTAGTGGCGAGATGCATTATGGGTAAAGAAAGACCCCATTAAATTTTGGTGCAGATCAGAGAAACTTTGAAACAAATAACACAAGACAGAGCATTTGGCATCGTGGAAGACTGTTCTCTGAGTGCCCCTCTAGTTTTCATTCCTGTTTTCTTAATAAGACATCTCTCTCAACTATCAATCAATACCGAGTCACATGTGAGCTCTGTTGTGTATGAACCAAGGTTGAAATGACTCACAGCAGACCAAGAAACATTGCATATTTGGCTCTCTGTGTTAAAACAGCCATTTCCCTCCCATACAGGCAGTTTGGAACTGATGTACACCTACTCTATTCCAGCTAAGACTGAATGTTGTACTTATTATTTTGATTTATGTGAACTCTAAATGCAAAACACTGTCCAAATACTTTGCACTATGCATCACTGCTTTGTTGCCTTGCACTGTATTTTCCTCTAATAATTTCCCAACACTGTCATCGGTATCTTGAGCTCTTGAGCTCAAAAGACAGCAGCATCGAATAAACACTTGTTGTTCTGCCAAGAGAAATGAGCAACGGCAGAAAGACAAGGACTCCACTCAATCAGAAGCCTAAAAACTTCCACGTCTGACGGGACTGTGATAAGCACAATATAGGAATGTTTTGTATTGTGTGTGTGTCAGTGCCAACTGTTCAAACCACAAAAGAGGTTGACTGCCTGCCTACTCAATGCTTGTGTTCAGTTTCATTTGTTTTATTTAGTCTGTAAAATAAATGGCAAGACTATCTGCTCACCCTTAACACTAGAATTTAATAGACTAGTCTAGAAAACATTTTAAATTAATATTGTAGATATTGTAGGAATATAAAGTTGTCAGTAGTTTTCAAACACACGCTAACAGGATAAAGTGAAAAAAACATTCCATTGTTATGTTACAGTTCTGGCTTGAACATGTTCATATGTACGGTGTTTCCCCGTATGTACAGTGTCTTGTATTCTTGGATTCTCCTGTAATAAAGTTAAAGTTTCTGTAGGTGGTGCTCTTTGCTTTTTGTATTAAGCTCTGCTGGTTCCCACTACAGACCATTTCTCCAACAATATTCTAAATGAGAGCATTCTGAGAACGTTGCAAAGTCTAACATGACAGGAGGGAGCCCTCATGTAGTTTTTGAGATAAGATCCATCCATCCATCATCTACACACACCTTAATCCTCACAAGGCCGCAGGGGGACTGGAGCCTTTTGAGATAAGATCCAGAAACTAAATAAATTAATAAATAAATAAATTATTACGGGCTGCAAGGTGAATCAGTGGTTAGCACCGTTGCCTCGCGGCAAGAAGGTCGCCGCTTTGCGTCCCGGTGAGGACACCCGGGATCTTTGTGCGTGGAGTTTGCATGTTCTCCCCGTGCAGCGTGGGTTCTCTCCGGGTTCTCTGGCTTCTTCCCACACAGTCCAAAAACATGTTGAGGTTAATTGTTGATTCTAAATTGTCTGTAGGTGTGAATGTGAGTGTGCTTGGTTGTCTGTCTCTAAGTGTAGCCCTGTGATGGACTGGCAACCTGAGTCAGCTGGGATAGACTCCAGCCCCCCACGACCCTAGTGAGGATTAAGCGGTGTATAGATGATGGATGGATGGATAAATGATTACTTATATGCACACCAGTGTTTGTTCTTCAATATGTTTTTTTTAACTTGCCATCCGTTGTGACATTAAGATTCTGCTTCTTTTAATAGCTTTCAGTCTCACTTTAAGTTTACCAAACCCCTCTCGGTGAGCAAAATATTTAACGTCTGTGTATTAGCACTGACCGGGTCGAGCAGCACAGTGCGTACATCCTCTCCATAGCGGTTCTTCAGACACGGCCCACAGAACTGACCCTTGACCCCCACACAGAAACCACTGCGGCACACCGTCTTAGTGTCCAGAGTCTTCTGTCTGCACTGGTGACATGAGCTGCCCTGCAAGAAAACACACAAACAGTAAAAAAAAATAATAAATAAAATACATACACACTCATTTAGGAAACCAGAGAGTATAACACAGTACCAACAGAACTCACATTCTCCTTGTCCCAGATCTTGTCTTTGCTGCGGTATGCTATGTTGTCCAGGTCTTCCTTGGTGATCTCATCGATTGATCTCACTATGTACTGACTCTTCCTGGAAGTGTGGCTCTTCCTCTTTTTTGGCCTCTCGTCCATACGATCCTCATCCACCTGCCCGGTTACAATCAACAGATTGCAGGTAAAATTGAGAGAGCCCAAACATAAGAATATAATAAAAACCTCACTGGCTATAGAGCAGAAGTTTATACAGAAAATCGTAATGGTGATTTCTTCTAAGTTTAGAATGATTTGGGATATTTATGGAAAGATGACAGAGAAGAAAGTTGACTTGATGTCATAAATGCACGCATTACTTCACTTCAAGATCTGAAAAAAGTGAAAAATAGTATTTGACTAATCAGAGTGCCAGCCTGAAAGTTTGGTATGAAATATAATGATTTAGCAATATATATATATATATATACACTACCGGTCAAAAGTTTTAGAACACCACACTTTTTCCAATTTTTTACTGAAAATTATTCAGTTTATTGTGTCATTGCATTCTGAAATGAAAGCATAGAACAAATAAGCAATTTTAGTTGAAAAATAAATCATGGAATCAATTTATAGACCAAAATATATTCCAAACTTTTGACTCATCAAAGTAGCCACCTTTGGCAGATATAACAACTGAACACACTCGTGGCGTTCTTTCTACAACAGAAATCAAATATTGTTCAGAAAGTTCTTCCCAAGTCTGTTGCAGAAGGTCTCATAACTGTGTGGTACTTGTAGACTGCTTGGTTTTCACTCTTCTGTCTAGTTCATCCCAAACCAGCTCAATGGACTTTAAGTCTGGAGACTGTGCTGACCACTCCATGTTTTCAAGCTGACCGTCTTGTTCTTTTTCCTGAAGTAGTTTTAGCATAGCTTGGACTTGTGCTTTGGGTCACTATCTTGCTGTAGGATGAACCTCTGACCAACTAGGCGCATACCAGAGGGTATTGCATGGTGCTGCAGAATGCTGTGGTAGCCATTTTGGTTCAGGGTACCTCTCACTCTGTACAAGTCACGGACCCTGGATCCAGCAAAACAGCCCCAGACCATCACACTCCCTCCTCCATATTTGACAGTTGATGTCACACACTGTGGAACCATCCTCTCACCTACCTGACGACGTACAAAGATCCTGTGTGATGAAGCGAAGATTTGAAATTTTGAGTCCTCAGTCCATAATACCTTCTTCCAGTCTTCAGTAGTCCAATGGCGGTGTTTCATGGCCCAGGAGAGCCTCTTTGTCTTATTCTGACGTCTCAGCAATGGCTTTCTTGCTGCAACTCGTCCTGTCAAACCTGCAGCTTGAAGTCTTCTCTTCACAGATGAAACTGAGACTTCCTTACTACGACCACTATTAAATTGTGCTTGAAGCTGTTGTCCTGTGAGCCGCCTATCACGCAAGCTGATAACTCTCAGAAACGTGTTCTGATTCAGTTGTGGCTTTGGGTCTGCCAGACCGCTTCCTGTCAGAGTTTCCCCCAGTTTCTGAGTGCCTTTTGATGGTGAAGAAAACTGTTCTCACTGACACCTTGACTTTCTTTGCAATTTCCCTGTAGGAAAGACCTCCATCTTTAAGTGTTATGATGGTCTGTCTCTCTTCCACTGTTAATTGCCTTTTTCTCGCCATTTTTGTAGCAACACACTACTTTCTGCAGTAAAATACCGTTCACCTGATGCTCATGAGGGTCTGGTACTACAGTATGTTCCAACACTGCTTTTATGGAGACAGAGGGGGTTGTATGTAATCAAAAAAAGTTGGAACACCTGTAGGAATTAGTAGCACCAGCTTTCAAGGCTGTTTCAACCTTCATTGCTGCAGAACAGCTTTAATTGTTAACCCACTTCGTGTTTCCTGAAAAAGGCCTTTTTGTGTAATTCTGAATAAACATTATTTTTTGTTTTTTTGTAACCAAACCTATTTTTTTTAACCTCTGGTTGTCCAGTCCTTACCTTTGTACCATTTCAAGCTATTCATTGGACT